GAAATAGCTTCATTCGTATATATTTCGAGAGTAAAATATAACATAACATAAATGAAAGTGTTTGTGTGTTTTGAAAATGACTTATGATAATTAGAGATTTGTTTTTTTGAGACTCATTAGAGATTTTTTTTTTTTCATAAATGCATACAAAAGGAGAAATTTCTTTTATTATTCTTTACACATTGCATACGAAAGAAAATTTCATATATTTATAAATTTCATTTCATATATTTTTCATAAATGCATACAAAAAGAAAATTTCTTTTATTATTCTTTACACATTGATCGTAATCGTTAATCATCAATCAGATTACGTTTTGCCTAACTCTGACTACGTGCATGACTTCTCTAGTCTGTCTGTGTTTAAATTATATTTATATTATTATTTATTACCAAGTAAAATATTATCATATCATACGTCTATAGAGAACTTTAGCAATTACGAAGAACTATAAAACGAATATTTTTACATTTTTTAATACTTACACTTTGCATCTTAATTCACTTTTAGAAACTAAAAAAATGTAATATTAATGTTAAAAACTCTAATATATTTAAACTGTGACAGTTGATGTCAATTTTTCACAAATTGATTATTTAACAAATATTGTCTTTGTTCATAGTCGAACATTATTTACAATCTTTACACACTTTAACGTGTGATCAAAAGATTTTCTCCACTTACTAGATTTTATCAACGAGAAGTTTTGTAACACGTCTCATCATTTAAGAAAAAAAAAAAAAAAAGATACATCGTGAAAGAAACTAGTTTGAGATATAACTTGAAAGGTGAACTTAATTTTATTTTTGCATCGACTAATTGATTTTAAATACATGTATGGCTATCATGTATGTTTCTCCAGCTAGATTTCAAAGTTATGGCGCGACGTCCTCTACAAAGTTCAATGTTTAAAAACCGTACGGGGCGTTTATGAAACAACTAAAATAGAATTTTGCAAGCCAACATCGTTTAATAATTAGTCGTCCCGTCAACATAAACAGTATACACTTTTTAAAAATTTTATTCGCATTTCGCGTCCGGAGGGATGTAACGTTTTGGTGAAACTTTAAATTAAAAGAGTGGAAAAATTACGATGGTAAATTTAATCGGAGAAAAATTGCACTCCTACCGAATTTTTTTGTCATTTTCACCTTCCCTCCTCTATTTCATTTGAAAAATTTTTCTGCAAAGAATATCTTTATTTATCCAATGGAAATTTTATTTCCGTTGACTGTCACGAAGAATCGACGTGAATCTATTAATAGTGATATCCAGACTGCGGATCTTTATGGAAATTAATACTTTTGAGAGTATAATTAAAAATGTAGAATTTAGGTAGAAAATTATTTTACAAATCAAATGTTGGAAATACCAACATGCGCATTCTATAAATGTATAAAAATTCGCAGTCTGTTCGCGAAATGAAGAAAAATTGACATTTGTCTTTTAAAACTTATGGCATTCTACTGTTAACTTACGATGTAACAACATGAACCTCCAAATATATGTTATATTTTCTTCGAAAATCTAATTCGTAATTTAATAGAAAATTTTAAACCTAAATTTTTTAAAAATTTGGTAAACCAATAAGTTTGTAGTGAGAATGGAAGTAAAAGAAAATTAATTTAATTGAATTCGACGTATGAAAGTAAGTAAGAATTTTTTGGTAACGTTAGAGATTATAAGTGAATTAATAAACTGAAATCTATTGAACGAAAATTTCACGCATATTCCTCTTGTTTGCTTTTACGCATCCATAATTTACAAATGAAATATTTATATCTTCATCTTTTACTACTATCATGAAATAACATTCATTACAAAATATGCATACTGCACCAGAGTTATCATTTCATAAGAAATCTCAATAAATGATTTCAATAATATCAGGGTATATAATATGATTTCAATAATATTCAATAACATGTGTTTTTTACTTCCTATTTGAGTATCAATGTGTATATCATTATATTTGAAAATATAATATGTTTTCAAATACGCGCGCGCGTGTGTGTGTGTGTATCTGAATATACATATACATACATTTATATTTGAAAATGTCAAGAATTAAATGATCTTATTTATCGGATACATCCCAAAACATAATTCTTTAACTTTTTCAAAAAAACAATTTTTTTTTTAATTTTCACGATGCAAGTAATAATTATACTAATATAAACATGTCTTAATATATCTATAGTTAATAAAGAGGGAATGACCACCCTAGATACATCTGTCAGGAATATAGAAATCATAAAGAGATCAATAGTAAAACTGCAAATGACAAGTTGTAGATTATAAAATTTCATTGCATATACAATTTTTACAATTTACAATTCCATGTCAGACAATGTTTGTTAACTTGTAATAAGATAACTTGTAATTTGCCACTTTTGAAATTTCACTGATAATATTAATTCAACTATATTATGAATACTATGCATTACGAAAGCATTTGCGTATAAATTATGATACATATAAATTCATCAATTTGCTTTCATTATACATTGGTGAGTTTTTTTCTAATTTTATTAATATGTTAATTTATCAATAAATTATATTAATAATTAAAATATTATTAATATTAATTATAATACGATACTATGAACGAGGGATTTCTTATAGCAATACCTATTAATTATTATTTATTTTTTTAATTAATATTATTTTTTAATCATTTATTTTTGTTCTTTTTTTTCTGTTTTGAATTATAATAGATATTATCTCGTTAGACACATATAACTTTATGGCACTGGATGAAAACAATAATAGTATTTGTGTGATAGCAAAATATTCCAACGTTGCAAAAAGTTAAGTTAAAATTAAATGTGATGTTTGATTTAATTTTACGTTATAGTCGGGTTTCACACTTTCGAGTAGCTGCGTGAATCGACATCGAGCTACTTCGAAGTAAAAAAATGATAAATTTTTCATTCAGCCAATAATGTGCGGAGAATAGATAGCAAGTGTTCAATTTTATTCTTTGAATTTTTAATATACGTACCTTCTCTAGATGGATTCGGATTTCGTAACGAAGTCTTATAAAAAATTTAACACGAAAATTATTTAAGTAGAGTTAGTACTTTTTATGAACTTCTGAGAGTTCCATGATTTTCTAATAATTTAAAATTAAGTAGATAAGCACTGGAATAAATTATACATATGTAACATGAGAAAGAAATATAAATATAAATCTCCAATTGTTCAGCTGTTTCTTCAAATCACGAATAGGAAGCAAAAGGAATTTTGATACATAATTTTAATGTTCTAACTTTCATACACACATACATTAAGCGGACAGAACAGTTTGACGGGCTTAAAAATTATGAATATTTTGGAGGGCTGGTAAAAAGTACATATTTGATTAACATGAGCTTCCGTGGTTTATTTTAACACATTATGAACTATAAAAAGCAACATTAGAAAAGAAAAAAAGAGGGCTCTTATATAACTTTTCAACGGCATCCTTTTACATAACTTTTTTCTACATTGCCTATCGGTGTGCATGATTCCAGCCAAACAGGATTGGTTGCAATAAAAAGGCAAAAAAGATTCAAAAATAAACAATATTCTCTAGGAATTGGACGATCCAACATTTTCATTTCTGTAAAAATTATGAAAATAGCAGCTTGTTTTCTGATGTATCGAATTTATGCCAAAAATTTCTACGCTTTTGATTTATATTTTTCGAAATTATCAAAAATAGAAAAATGTTCGATCGTCAATTCCTAGTAAGTATTACACTAAAGATACTTACCAAGTTTCACAGTAATCGGTTGGTTAGATTCCGAGATATCTTGCACACCGTTTCTAAAAACCTAGTTTCGAGAAATACGCGTTTAAAGTTTCAAAACGTCATTTCTCATATGTATCCTTTACTTTCTTTTTTCACTTATATATCGCGGCTTACAGTTCTTACAATTCACAACTAAATTGAATCCAAGTCCCCTAATATTCGATTCACCAAAAGTAATATTTGAATCACACGATTTACACTTTATAATATTGCTCAAAGTTGTAAATAGTGATACAAATTCAATTATTCTCTATCTACACTTTATAATAATTATATAATTATATAATTATTCTCTATTTACACTTTATAATACTGCTCAAAGTTGTAAATAGTGATACAAATTCAATTATTCTCTATCTACACTTTATAATAATTATATAATTATTCTCTATTTACACTTTATAATACTGCTCAAAGTTGTAAATAGTGATACAAATTCAATTATTCTCTATCTACACTTTATAATAATTATATAATTATTCCCTATTTACACTTTATAATACTGCTCAAAGTTGTAAATATTGATACAAATTCAATTATTCTCTATCTACACTTTATAATAATTACATAATTATTCTCTATTTACACTTTATAATACTGCTCAAAGTTGTAAATAGTGATACAAATTCAATTATTCTCTATCTACACTTTATAATAATTACATAATTATTCTCTATTTACACTTTATAATACTGCTCAAAGTTGTAAATAGTGATGCAAAATTCAATTATTCTCTATCTACACTTTATAATAATTATATAATTATTCTCTGCCTACACTTTATAATAATTATATAATTATATAATTATTCTCTATTTACACTTTATAATACTGCTCAAAGTCGTAAATAGTGATATAAATTCAATTATTCTCTATCTGCGGATTTATTATTATAAATAAATCGTTTTAAAGGCTAGGGTTTTGTATCTTATTTCCAAGACTTCAAACTACTATTTAAAACAAAATAAAACGAAAAAAATCGATTTTTTGAAAATTTCAAACTGTCCCGACCCCTTAATGAATCTTCTTTATTAATTTCGATAATTAATAAAGTGTCAAACCTATTTTATATACAACCTATTTATATTTCTTTGACATGTATTTAGTTTCACACAAATTGAACAGAAATACGAAGTAATTTGTCTCACTTCGTATTTTGTCTGTAATATCGTCGAAACATTGCGAAATCTTTTTACATCTTACCTCAGGTTTTAGCAGTTTGTTGATACAATTTATTCTACTACACAGAATCTCCAACTCCAGACGTTCCTTTCCAAGCTGTCGAAATATAGAGAACTTAAGTCGCGTAACTTTAAAGGGAGGAGAAATTTATTCGTGAATGCAAGAACCCACCATTTTCTTCGCCTTTTCCTGAAACACGTCGGTCTGCTGCAGCTGGAAATCAGAAAGCAATTTACCATTTACCGTAACCGTATTGTTGCCAGCCTGAGACTCTGAAGCTATCCCAAAAACAAAACAACGAAATGCACTTTCGGCACGGTGCACCGACTCGAAACAAACTCACGTGCTTATGAATACAATTGTAGATCGGTCTGATGTCCGCCATGCTTCTCCTCCGCGGGATTTTCTGTAAATTACGCGCAATTACTAATACCCCGCCTCGAGATTAATTCCGGACATTATTATTCGCAAATACCTTGTCTGCCTCTTTCTGCAATTCCAGAAAGTTCTTCTGATTCGCGACGGTCGCTTTTGCACTCTGAAATCGACGCACGCCGATTAATAATTTATTGTCAGAGGTGTGTAGATTGTCATTAGTAGATTTTTGTGCATCTATGGGAAACTTTGAATACGTGAAAATTGCACATAATCTACGTAATGTGAAAAAAATTTATAAAATATCTAGAGAACAGTGCTCTCTATATAATACTTGATACGTGAAATAAATGTTTCTTTATCATACTCTAAAAAGATACAAATTTGCAAAGGTGAAAATGTGCAGTCTGGTTGTTAGATTTGTTGAAAAAGTTTGTTGAAAAGCAGTTGGTCAGACTGATTAACTTTATCGAAATAAATCATTTGCTTGTTAGATATTTGATTCTTAGAGTTTCATATTGAAATATAGAAATAAAAATAATACGACGTATTTCAATTTTAAAAATAGAAGATGAATAGTTGTTGAATAAAAAAAAAATTTAATTCGCGTTTTTAATTGACGTCATCATTTTTATGAATGCTTAGTAATAACGTTACTCAGATCGTTTAATTATCTAGAATTAAAAGTGAATGAGTACGATTCGTTTAATCTTATATCTTATGAAATGAAAATGTTTGAAAATGATTCTGTCTTCTTAATAAGTGCTACATATAAGCAATAGTTTATCAAAGACGTCAAAATATTTAAATTAAAAAAAAGAGAAGGAAAATTTTCAAGTTCCGAAAATATCTAAACTTAATGCAGTGAATGTAAGTAAAAGTACATGATATTAGGTACATATAGAATACTGATGGTACAAGCCAAAAGGAGATGAATTTGTATGAAAAAATAAATTGTAAACGAAGAATAAATTTTTAATTTTCATTTAAAGTCTCGTTTTTATTTTTAAAATCAAGTTTGAAAATTAACTAACTGTACTTGAATTTAGCTGAATATAATACTGAACTGATCAGAAATAAGTAGAATAATTGAAAATAAATCAAAATTGCAGAGTACAATTTTTTCACAAGACTCTTGCTAGATTTATTTTTAACTAATCTTAGTCAAACTTTCTTTGCTTGAAAATGAGACCTTAAACGGAAAAATTTTTATTTTACATTTTTTGTTTATTTTCGTAGGTAGAGCAGTTCCTATCTTAATCAGGATTCAAAATTAACGAAATTCAAATGTAATGGATAAATTTTCAAACTTGGTTTTCTCAAAAATAATAACTTAAAAGGAAAAAATTTTATTTTTTATTTTGATATATTTTTTCATGTAGAATCGTGCTCTTTTCGATTGTACCTTCAATGTACTGAATATCCTGTATACTATATATAAAATATATAATTTTGTCTTTGGAATGATACATTTCATCACGCTCTTTAACTTTTAACTATAAATATCTTTGCATTTTTGTAATTACTGTAGATGAATATTTGATATTTCATTTATTACATGACTACTTTATGAAATTTAATTCAACACAATTATTTTGTTTAATAATACTGTACGCCGAGGATTTTCAACAATTCAGATTATTCAGAATCTCCATCAAATTGTAGAAATCATATAAAGGTTCAAATTTCCTAAATACGAGTGTTCTATGATTATTTCATCATTGTTGTTTCAAATTCATAATGCTTTTATAATATTCAGTTGAAGATTTCAAGTATGATTACAAGTTTTTTTTACATATTTATTATGATAAAAAATTTAACAGTGAATATAATAGTACAAATGAAAATAAAACTACCCGATTTAATATTTTTCAACGTAGTAAATTTGTATGTGATAAATTATGATTGTAGTTGTAACAAATTAGATCTTTAATTTGTGTATTTGTCATGAATTAATGGGTAAAAGGAAATTCTCATTTTTAATTGTTATCATTTCTCAATTTCTAAATTTTTCAATATTTCAATATTTACAGATTTAATTTCTTAATTTCTAAATTTTTCAATATTTCAATATTTACAGATTTAATTTCTCAATTTCTAAATTTTTCAATATTTCAATATTTACAGATTTAATTTCTTAATTTCTAAATTTTTCAATATTTCAATATTTACAGATTTAATTTCTTAATTTCTAAATTTTTCAATATTTCAATATTTATAGATTTTTTCATTAGAAAGGTATGAGAGTTGTAGAAAGCAAATGAAATAAAGTGTAAAAAGTATATTAAAGTTACAAAATGATGTGAAACAAATCTTTAGACTTTAACGTAATATAACGATATATATCCAGTTACATTTCTAATAATAGGATCGTTAAGAAACTGTAAGACAGAAATTAATTTGCAGAAAGTTTGAGCCGAAGCACTCCTTAAAAGGTGAAGAATATCCCGAATTGAATGGGAAGAGTGTGCTGCAAAATAAAGTCGAACATGCTCGACGTGCTAGCAACTTCGTGCTTGATCAAATTAACCTTTCTTGCCGTTCAACGTCGATAAAAACTTTCGATCTTTCCGCTAATCAGAGCACTGAAAAGGGAGGACGAGCAAGAGGGAGAAAAGAAAAAAATAAATGATGCAAACGAACAAATGCAAGACACCTTGTCGGCGATATTTTCTCGTCTGTTATCGATCCGTCTGCCTTCCGTTCACCCAGACGAATTAACCGGCCACGACCTAACGGAACAATTGCAACGTAACAAAGCATTAAATCGCAAAATAAAACGTTATTTGTTCCGTTTACACTGTAATACAATTTTATCTATTTGTAGCTTTTAACTTTTTTTCCATTGTTAATGATGTGTATGAGAGGAATCAATATATCAGATATGTATGTAAAATCGTTTTATAAATATGCATCTTCTCTCAGATATATTTTATAATATTATAAAATATTATGAAATATAACATATTTATATTTTATAAATAACAAAACAGACACAAATCAATATATAGAAAATATATATTATATATGGATGTATATGGAAAACTTCTGTTGCATATTTTTAATTAATATAATTATATGAATTCTATCATTTGTGACGAATGTTAGCGGTGTTTTAGAGACTTTAGTAATTTTCTATGGAATTGTATTAAATTGTTGTGTGTTATTATTGTTTAATTGTTCATTTTTTATTTTCAATAATCTGTCGTCGTAAATAACATAATGCTTTATTAAGGTGATATTCTCAAGGCGAAAGAAACGTAAACTATATTAAATTGAACGAACCAATAGGAAATTATATCCCTCAGAGGAATTTCTATATTTTGTGTGATGATTGTTATTGTTATTTACTCTAATGTTATTGTTATTTACTCTAATCACATTAAAGATTTTACACATATTTGTTTCTTTCGTAACAATTTGTATTGTAACATTGATTTAAAATTATTGTGCATTTAATTGTAAGAAATGCCACAAAAGAAATATTATAGAAGCTCATAGAGAATTCAAAGGGAAGTTTTTGTACAGTTAAAGAGCATGAAAAACGTTTTCAGAAAATTTACAAATTTCTAATTTAGAAATTTTCTGAAGAGATGTTTGGGCAAAAGATGTTCAAGGCTGGTGGTGAAATTATTTTATTCGAAATTGATGATCACGGGACGTTATTGACACAATCTGTTAATAAACAAATACTCAGAAACATGAGCGAAAAATAGTAATATTATAGAATAGTAGATTGTATTGAATTAGTAGAATTATTAATAACTTGAAATAATTCTGTAATATTAATGGTGATAATATAATATTAATAATAATAATGTATAGGCAATTTTACGCGAAATTGCATCGTCAAATTTGTTTGAAAAGTATTCTATTGTTATTAAATAATTAGTAGGGGCGATTTTATTGATTTTATGACGTTGAAATACGTTGTCATGGTCATTATTCTTTTTATGTATGTAGTTTTTTAGGATTAGATTTAAATTAAATTGAAATTTGCTTAAATTTACTAGTATATTTTATTGTTAATGCTATACAATTGGAAATATTTCTGTCATTATACTGAAAACTGCCTTTTGCTGGTCTGTGATTTATCTATTCCAAATCAATACCAATGCTTCTACTTAAAAAGATCTACTTAAAATCTACTTAAAATACTTTTACTTAAAATCATATTTTAGAATAAATATATCGGATTTAGGATAGAATAGAAATATTGGTTTAGGCTAGAACAATGCGCAGCTTGCAACGATGTTATCATGATGAAACAATTCTTAAAAGAAAAAAATTGTCAGATGGATTAAAGTGTCATCTATATTCTCAAATATAATGTTAGAAATTTAAAAATTGAAATCAGGGTGAAGTTTAGTTTCTAATTATAGGACAACCGTGATGGGTTCATCTTTATCAAAATGCACATTTTGAAAAATAGTGTACAAAAGTATTGATTTCTGTTTTTATATAGATTTCAATAAAAGAAATTATAGATTCACATACCGATTGAATTAAGAATGATCAATTACAGAACGCTGCATTGAGTTAAAAGGTATATTAAAAGGAAATATCTCGGAAATTAAGGCCAAGTAGATTTTACGAAATGCAATTAAACTTAATATTTACATATATTATATTGAACGACGTTACGTCGTGTATACAATTAGGCATAAATGTGACCTACGATGAGTTTAGTCGAATATTTGAAAAATAAAAAAACAGAAATACTAAAAAGTGTGGAAAAAGCATATAAAGAAATAAATATAATCATATGCTGATTATTTGCATGAGGCTATAATATTATCGGTGATTGTGATATTAATACGTTAAATGGTAACATTAGAGTTATCAGTGACACCGTGTCAATATTGTATTTATATTTAATTATAAATAAGATAATTATAATTCTACTCTATAATTATCTTATGTAGATAAGATAGATATTTATATAAATATAAATACAATAATGTAGATAATAATAAATATAAATATAATAATGTAGACAAGATGTATTTGCATAAATTCATTGCGCCAATTAATGTGTTAAATTCTTTTTGTTTCGCAAAAAGAACGCTTGCCATGAAAATATGCAGAAACCCGAACTCACCACAAGTGAACAGACGATAACGATCAACGTCATGAGCAAAGTGACGAACGTAACAACACCACATAATGGACCCAAGTCAAACATGTGTCTCAATTTGGCATCAGCCAGCAGATACTGATACAACTGAAACCAAAAGAAGAAAAAAAGAAAAAAAAAAAGATTATTCCCATTGGAAGCAAGGTTAGTTTATACTTATGTCATTTGATTTTCCTCATTCATTAACGCCAATTGAAGCGAAGATAATTATTGTTTACGAACCAGCCATTGGGGGCCAGAGTTATAAGATCTGTAGTATTTGCGGAGTTTTGTGATTTCCATGATCGTTTCGAGTTACGATACCACGAAGACGATAATTCGTCACGATTGTTAGAGGCATCACGTGAATTTGGACGGGCCACGCGAGTCGAAAAAAAAAAAAGAACTGACAGTTTTGGCGGATCGTTTGACCGAAAATGGTCGACGCGTTTCCCCTGACTCCTGACCCTCCGTGTTACTCCTCCCATCTTCGATATTCATATATATATATACAGGATGGTCCACGTACCAACTTGCACCTCCCATAATTTCCAAGCTATGCGTTGCACAAAAAAATTTTGTATACAAAAGTTGCATGGTTTAAGGGGGTAGGACAGTTTGACGGGCCTAAAAGTTACGAATACTTTGGAGGGTTAGTAAAAAAAAAGTACACATTTGATTGACATAAGCTTTTGTGGTTTATTTTAACACATTATGAACTATAAAAAGCAATATTAAAAAAGAAAAAAAGAGGGCTCTTATACATAACGGCATCCTTTTACATAACTTTCTTTTACATTGCCTATCGGTGTGCATGATTCCAGCCAAACAGGATTGGTTGCAATAAAAAGGCAAAAAAGATTCAAAAATAAACAATATTCTCTAGGAATTGGACGATCCAACATTTTCATTTCTGTAAAAATTATGAAAATAGCAGCTTGTTTTCTGATGTATCGAATTTATGCCAAAAATTTCTACGCTTTTGATTTATATTTCTCGAAATTATCAAAAATAGAAAAATGTTCGATCGTCAATTCCTAGTAAGTATTACACTAAAGATACTTACCAAGTTTCACAGTAATCGGTTGGTTAGATTCCGAGATATCTTGCACACCGTTTCTAAAAACCTAGTTTCGAGAAAAAGGCGCTTAAAGTTTCAGAACGTCATTTTTCATATGTATCCTTTACTTACTTTTTTCACTTATATATCGCGGCGTACAATTCTTAGAATTCACAACTAAATTGAATCCAAGTCACCTAATATTCGATTGATCAAAAGTAATATTTGAATCACACGATTTACACTTTATAATACTGCTTAAACGTTGTAAACAGTGATACAAATTCAATTATTCAGTATCCGCGGATTTATTATTATACCCCAAAATAAGTCGTTTTAAAGGTTAGGACCTTTTGTATCTTATTTCTAAGATTTCAAACTATTATTTAAAACAAAACAAACAAATTTTTTTGAAAATTTCAAACTGTCCTGACAATTTAAAGGAATACACTATGTAGTGCATTTATGTTTTTTTGTAGATGGAGGCGTTTCGGAGAGTTGAAGGTCAACTTCATTTTTTTTTTTTAATATTATATTTTTGGAAAATATGGAAGAATACCGAATTCTGAATAAAAAAGTTTTGATCTTTATTAGCCCTAAACCTAATACCTAACGAGTAATTTCTTAAAAATTTCCTTCACGTTTATGGCGATTCAAGCCTGCTGGAAGCCATGAATCTTCTCTACCGCCTTTGCGACAATTTTCAAGAAATAAAGTGAAATTATTTGTTAGCTACTAACTTTAGAGCTAATAAAGATCAATATTTTTATTTTTCTACTCAGAATTTGATATTCTTCAATATTTTGATATAAAAAATATAGTATTCTATTTAAGAAAACAAAGTTGACCTTAAAATGTCCGAAACGTCTTCACCCATAAAAAACATAAATACACTACATATACCCCTTTAAACCATGCAACTTTTGTATACAAAATTTTGTTGTACAACGCATAGTTTGGAAGTTATGGGAGGTGTACAAGTTACGTGCACCACCTTGTATATGCAGTGTGTCCGAAAAGGTTGGAACCAAACTTAGACTACGCATTACTGAGGTCAAATAGATGAAAAAAGTTCATATAAATTTATGTCCGAAAATGCTTTATTGAAAAGATATAACCGTTCAAAGATTTATGGAGAAAATTCGTCTTACAATTCGTTGTACAGAATCGTATACGTATTACAAATTCTCAATAAGATTATCGTTTACATGTCCTGACCTATGGCATCAAGACCTCTATCATCATAATGGAAGAAATCAGATTAACTTAATTTAATTTAACGCCTCTCGACTTCTATTTATGGAGTCATGCGAAAGAGTTGGTTTATAAAAATACGATAGAAACAGAAGATCAACTTTGGGAGTGTGTTCAAAATGCATTTAATATTATTTCCAATACAAATGGAATATTTGAAAGAGTTGGACAATCACTAATTCGACGAATGGTAGCCTGCATTCTTGCAGAAGGAGGAACTTTCGAACATTTCTTACAACTGTCACAATAAATCTTAAATATCTTTAAAAGCTGATATCTTTTTAATAAAGCATTTTCGGAGATAAGTTTATCTGAACTTTTTTCATCTATTCGACCTCCAGTCCAACACGTAGTCTAAGTTTGCACCCAATCTTTTTGGACACCCTCTGTGCGTATGTGTGTGTAATCTACATACACTGTTCGATAATATGCGCGCACATAAATATATATTTCTACACGCGATCGATCGTAGACAACGATAGCAGTAAACATCGGTACAAATTGATGCGGCATATTCAAACAACGTCGCTGGCGACAACGATAATCCGACCACAGGTCTACGTCAAGAACCGAACCCTCGTAACGACATTATCTTTTTCAGCGATCGGTGGCTTCCGTCGTTGGACGCGAACGATTCGATGGGTCTGTTCCCATTTTGCCTGTCTCCTCCTGCCACTTTCCCACCCACCCGGGGTATTTGCATGAACGATGGAAACGTGTTGGATTCAGGCTCGTGTTCCTTTGCAATAATCGCCAGATGCTTATTTAATTTTTCGCTGGTAGTGTTTGCGGTTCGATCGCGGCCCACAAAATGAAAGAGAAGCTGGAAACGGTGGCCCTGTTGGTTTTTATCGTTAGCTGGGTTCGAGGAAATTCGTTGGGTCTAACGACGAGTTTGATTGTGTTTACTCCTGCCTGTTGTTTCTTCTAATGGATATCATAATGTCTCGTGTATTGAATTGGTATCATAATGTCTTGTGTAGATATATAAGTAATGAACTTGGAAATAATATTTCGTTTAGTGGGATAGTAAGAGAAAATATGTAGCGTTTCGAGGTTTGAATGAATTTCAATATTGATATTCGTCACTGTCATTTTTCAACAGAGTTAAAAGTTAGCAATAGAAATGAAAAGTATAATTTTTTAAATGAATCTTTTATTTTTAGTAATTTTTTAAACGAGCTTTTTATTTACATTGTGATTATGAAATATGCTACAATATAAATATAAATATATCACTTTGCATGAATTTGAATGTGCGAATTTGAATATATCCTATACCAGGATAATAATATTTTATTGGTCTATTTCTTATCACTGTATTTAGAAATATTTGTGATAAAAGTCTATTGACCATGTATGATATACTATGTATAATATATTTCTGTAAGTAACGCGTGTATATTTCTTGTATCATCACTTTTTATACGTTGGACGTTTTCCATTATTTTGTAGTTTCTTTTCTCTTTTCTTCCTTTCTTTTCTTTCCTTCACAACTTTGCTTGCTTCTTACTTTTCTTTTTCCTCCTTTCTCTTTTTTCTTTCTTTTTTTATTTTCTTCTCTTCCTCCTGTTCTCATTTTCTTTTTCATAGTTTCTCAATAACGGATAATTATAAGATCAATCAATGCAGGTACCTATCTTCATTTACACGTGCATTTAATTCTTACAATTTGTTCAGACGTTAATTACCATCAACTAGAATATTTCTCTGATTACGCTCAATTAAAGCATTTGAGATTTTAAAAAGCGGCAGATCTTTTTTGTATTATAACATAGTCTTTTCCTTCAGTCGTATTACAAGTTTTCATATAATTAGAATGTTATGCAATATCATATTTTTATTAATACAATCAGAGACATGAGACCGAAATAATTATTTGTGTATTTTTAAATATCCTATAAATAATATAATAATAGATATATCACATTTACTTATTTATAGGATATTTCAATAATTTATTTTACATAAAATGAAGCAACTTTTATATTCTTTTATATTCTGAATTAAGTTATCTGTAATTTCTTTATTAAATTTTTGTACCATTAGATCATACATAAAAAAAAGAAAAACAAATTTTATAATGATTCAAGTTTAAGGTAGTATTTATAAGTACCGATGGTTTCGCAACTATGGCCAGAAATAATAAAATATTATATAGTATTACACGAAACAGAAATCTTCCATTGCGAAGATTCTTTTTTAAAATTATATTTACTTTTAAATAGCACGTGATGTTGTAGTAATATAAGCGTTTATAGATTGAGGTTCAGGGCCATTAGATTATTTGAGTCACGTCATAATATACATGTTTTCATAAACGATGCATAAGCGATGCAATAACAAAAATATATAATTATTTACTAAAATATATCGATGAAATAAAAACAACATTTGAAAAAGAAATGAACTCTATTGGTCATCGTACAAAATACGTATAAAATATTTTTATAATAGTATAATATTATATAAAATATAAGTTAGTATATAGAAGTTAGAATAAATATAAAGTTTGTATAATATATTATAGATATATATTATATTATATAATAATTATATTATAAGTAGAGTATAATATTATAAGTTATAATACTTTAAAATACCGTCAAAATATAGAGAGTTAAATTATGTGTGGAGGTACACAACAGAACAAATTATTAATCTTAATAATTTCTTTTGGAAAACGATAATAAGTTTGATCACAAAACAATTGTATGTACAAATGAAATTTAGAAATTGTAATTATTCGAATAATGAAATTAATAGTTTAGTTACTTGAATAATTATTAATTATTTAAACAATGAAAATTATTAAGAATTATGTATGCAATATATATATATATATATATATATATACAGTGTTCACGAATTTACTAGCCAGTGTTTTTCTCACGAACAATAAGCATAAGAAAAAATAAAATAGAAAAAATATTGTTTTTTATAAACATAATAATGTATACAATTTTATTATATTGGCACAGTAGATTTA